GGAGGGATGTTGCACCCTTGGGTGCACCCTCTGCCGGGGAGCAGCTCGCTGGTGTGCTTGGCTCCCCAGTTGGGACCACTGAGGCAGTAACATCTGCTAGCGTCCCCCAACACCGTCGTGATATGACCCTCAGGCTGCGATTTCTGCCTGGGAGTGGGGTGGTTGGGATATACCTGACACTGGACCTGTCGTGGTTGTCTTCCAGGTGACAAACTGTTTCAGGAGGAGGCTGCACCCCCATGTCTCCCCATAACCTCCCTGGGGAACTCAATCACCCCAGGGCTGGTGCTGGGAGCGTTTTGGTGGCTGCCTGGGGTAGATGGGCTGTGGGATGTCTGCAGATATGTGCAAAGTCTCCTGGCCGTTCCTTGGCTTTGCAGTGATTCATTCCAGGATGCTTTCCAAGTTTGCTTCCATCGATTTTATTGGTCCCATTCATAATGCGAACATTGTCCGACGCTGTTTGCTGTAGTAGGAGGAGGAGGGTTTGTTTATTGGGCTGTTGCCGTGATGGATAACATGTTCAAACCAATTGCCTGGGCATCCAGACAGGTGCCAGGAGATGAAGAAGGGGGATATTGTACCAAAACACGGTCCCTATTGGTGTGGTTCTGCCAGCCCCAGGTGATGCTCCTGGTGTAGCTGGTGAGGGTGTTGGGGCTTGCCGAGGGCATCGCTGCCCTCCTGATCTACCCCCAGGGAGGCTGGAGACCCAAAATAATGAAATAGGGGCTCTCTGGCTGCTCTTCTCCACTCAGGAGATGCCCAGGCATCCCACCTCCCAGCTAGGGAGCGTAGGAGAAACATCCACACCGTCAGCCGAGAGACACCGGGGAACTGTTGGGATGGCAGCAGGGGTGAGGAGGGCGTCACGGCCGAGGCAGCATCCCGGTCCCCGTCACCTCTGAGGCACGCGGGTGCCACTCAGGGACCGGTGGCGACTGTCACAGCTGCCTGTCACAGCTGGGGAGCCGGGCAGCAGGGCTCTTCTCCCGTGTTGGCTGTCAGGGACGTGCCGGAGGCGGCTGTCACCCTCCGCCCGGGTGGCTTCCCCCCTTTCCTGCTCTTCTCCCGGCACATCTGATCCCGTCAACGCAGGCTGTTGACTCAAGGATAAGCCGCGCCGTGAGGAGCAGGAGCCGTGACCTTTGCTGGTGCGATGCTGCAGCGGAGGAAAGTGCGGAGATTTTGGGGTGTTGGGGTGGAGGATGGTATTCCCTGGCATTGGGTGTGAGGATCGATGTGCTGGGTGGCATTGGGCAGTGTCATGATACCGAGGAGCAGGGTTTGGCCTTTGAGGACCCTTCCTGGTGATGCAGGAAGGTAGGGGTGCTTGGATGGGGGTCCCTGTTTGGCTGCTCAGTGGGTAGCAGCTGCATTCTCCCCTGGGAAATTACACCCATGCCCATTAAATACCACCTCAGAGGAGGAGGGGGGGGAAAAAAATCCTAAAACTGCCCTCTCACACTTGTGTGAGGGAATTTATGTCTGAGCGCTCTGATTTTCAAGCCATAGAGGAGGTTGCTGGTGATAAATGTGTGAGTAATGACTGACCCGGGCAGGGGCAGTGAGGAGACGTCGATGGCTGCAGGGGTCAGCTTATCCCCCGCAGCTGCAGCACCGCGGCTCTGGCACTTCTCCATCACGGGTTCCCTATGAGAAAACCTGCCCCCCGCCCCCAGCTCCCTTGGACACAAGGGTGTGGGTTTTTTTTGCAATTACCTCTAATTGTGGAAATTTGGGGTTTTGGATGAGAATATTCCTCCTGTGCTGGGGGGAGGCTGCTGCATCTCCCCCTTCCCTTTGAGCATCACCTTGACATAACGTTGCATGGGGAGACAGGGTTTTTCCTCCCGGACATGTGGCATCTCACAGGTTAAAGGGAGGAATCACCAATTCACTTCAAAGCCCCCCAAACCCGTGGGACAGCGGTGGGCTGCCTTCCCCTGCCCTCCTGCCCCGCTTTGCTTGTTTTCCCTCCTGCAAACAGCAGATCTATTGTTAAACGCCTTGATCCTTCATGTATCGCTCCCTCTAATGAACATAATTAGCCGTGAATCACGTAGGTCTCATTTTTGTTAGGAGGTTAAAATCCCTGATACACTTTAATACATTTTTGCAGTGAGCACATTTAGAAAGTAATTAAAAGGCTCAGCCGTCTTTGCCTACATCCCCTCTCCCCCTCCCCGGGATGGCAGGATTTAATTGAGGCCAGCTGAAAGTTAGTGGAAATAAATTGTGGATGATAAAGCGGAGGTTGTAATTTAATTCTGGGAGAGAAGCTGTTCTTGCCCGGGTGTTCAGTTCATCAAGGACCGGTGTTGACGCGAGGAGGGGGGTGGGATTATTTGTGTAATGTGGTTTACTAATGAGAAAATGATGTTTCGAGAGGGATAGTGCTCACTCGTGGAGTGGTCCCACTTTTTAAGGCATCATCTCTAGGGCTTGTGGATGTCCCTGAGAGGGTGCAGAGACTGGGGTAGCGGGAGGGATGCTGGTCCGGGAGCCCAGGCTGGTGAGAAGCGCGTGGCAAAAGTATTGGCGTGCCGCTGGTGTAAAACAGCCTACCTGGGGCTGGGGGCAACAATTACCTTAATTGATTTTGTAGTCCTTCAACCTCTTAATTACAGGCTGTGCCTGATCAGGGCTGAGTAAGAGAAGGAGCCGGAGCAGCCGCTGGCAAGGTACTGCAGATGGATGTGTTTTTGGATGCTCCCAAGGCTTTTAGCAGCCCCCGAGCTGCCCCGGCAGTAGCACCGTGCTCGGGAGCGACATGTAAATGTAACCTTCAGAAGGAGAGCGCAATTAAAACGCCCTGCCGCCCGCTATATTAAAATGGGATATTAAAGCAAACAGTGGTTCTCCCCACTCGGAGGGATGGTATGGGAAGTGTATTTAGCCAGGGATTTGCTGGCACACTGAGCAAACGGCCGGGCTCGCAGCTGGGCTCTGCCGCTCGGCTCCCTGCCACGGCTCCGCTCGCGTTGTGCCGGGCTGTCGGTTCTTCCCGGGAAACCTCCCCAGTCCTTATTGAAAAACTCAGCCTCAAATCCCTGGCACTGATACCCCCAGGGCCGAGCATCCTGCGGGGCAGGACCTGCCCGTGGCCAGTGCAGGAGCAGGAGGGTCTGTGCCCTTGCTGAGGCTGAAGGGGAACACAGAGTCTGAGCAGAGCACGGCAATGGCTGTGCTGCTAATTACCTGCCAGCTCCAGCGGTGCTAATGAACTTATCTCTCTTTCCTTAGCCAGCCAAGGTCCCGTTACCCTTTCCCCCTCCTTTTCCCTCAGAAGGAGAGCGCCAAGGCTGCTTCACTTTGCTCTTCCATCTGAATAGGAGTTAAATTGCTTTCCAAGCAGCTGACACTTGGCTTTTTGTTCAGCCGCAACCACAAGACATGATGTCTTATTAATAAATGATGCAGTTGCTGTTTCGGCTTCGTTTTCTCTGTCTTGTTTGGACATCGTGATGTGGCTCCGGTAGCTTTGCAATCGCACTCTGTGTGCAGATGGGTGCAGCATCTGTGGGGCAGGTGCCTCACATCCCACCTCCCTCCCTGGTCCTAACTGGGTGCTGGGGGCTGTTATGGGGTGACAGGGGACCCTGGTTCTCTGCAGACCCAAGCACAAAGCCAGAGGCCTCTTGCTTTCCAGAAAGGGAGCCCAGAAGGGAAATATTAGGCAAACCCTATATTTCTGTGTGCATTCTTTGCTCCCTTCCCCAAAAGCTTGAACCTTTGCTCTTGCCTTTATTACCACATGATGGTTTTCCCTGTCTCTGCTCTCCCCGTAGATACGCTGTCAGTGCCTCGCTGGTCCCCGCAGATCCCCCGTCGAGATCTAGGAAATTCAATAAAACACAGGTACGCCAAGGCTGCCGTAGCGCCGGGTGAATTCCCCCGACACCAGGGCATGAGCACCTCCTTTTCCATCCCTGCTCTGGGAGGGGAGGCTCGGTCGGGGCCATTCCCCCTGTTTCCCAAGCTGTGCTGTGCTGTCCTAGAATCCCATTTAAATTCCATTTCAGTTCAGATTTGTTTTAGATAAAGCTTGAGCTGCTATCAATAAAAGCTGCGCATAATCTGTGACCTTGCCAACCTTCAGCAAATTTCCCATCTCCGGATTACTGCCCTTTCGTATCTACCGCAGGAAGGAGAAGCACTAGAAACAGCCTCGGTGCTGCTGCTCGGTGGGGCAGCCGCTTCTCCAACAGGCTGGAGACTCGGAGTCCCCGGGGCAAGGAGGTGTTCTGGGGGCCTCTGTCCGCAGCCTGGAGCGAGCAAAGCTGGGGGGCCACGGCAAGCTGGTGGCCCTGCCTGGCTGGCCTGGACCCTTTTGGAGCAGGCTGTGCATAACCCTCCTGCATAACCAAAGGGGGGGTCAGATTTGTGCTCTGGCACCCCTATAGATGCCTCAACAGCTGCAGCAGTGTTTTGGGGCAGGAAGGAAAGGATAAATGGGGGCTTGGTTGGCAAGCGCAGCTTGGGATATGTTCCTGCGCAGCCTCATCTCTCCCCAGCCACTCTCTGTGTTTCTCTCCACAGGTTTTCCACCAAGTACTGGATGTCTCAGACCTGCACTGTCTGCGGGAAAGGAATGTTGTTCGGCTTAAAATGCAAAAACTGCAAGTACGTCGCGGCACCGGAGCTGTTTGTGTCGCTTCTTAGTGTTGTGAGAGGGATACTTTGGGTTTTGAAGGTGGAGCTGAGCAGGGACTCAGGCATGGGGAGACCAACAGCCTCTCACCAGCTCATCCTTGCAAGAACCTTTGATGGGAGATGAAAAAACACCCTAAAATGGGGCTGAAGTTGGGTCTGTGTGCTGGGGATGGGAGCGAGGTCCTCGGGGAGGAAGCTGCCCACCAGACCTCGGCTGTGCTCGCACCAGAGCTCTGAGTCAGATCCTGACAGCCTCCCCGCTCACGGCTGTCCTTGGCCTGGCTTTCGATGCCCACGTTATAGGGTTATGCACGGAATTATCTGCAGGAGATGGGGTGATAGAGATGCTGCACCTGGGTTGAGAGTGGCTCGGATGAGAGCATCACCTGTGTGTGGGGTAGCTCCGGGCATCGGGTGGGTTTTGCCTACAGCTTTGGGCTGTATCCTCTATTTTTTGCATCAGAAAAATGTCTTGTGGTCCTCTGTTTCTGGCAAAGTTGTGGCACCCAGGAGCCAACCCACCCTAAACAGCAATTAAGCTGAGATGCAAAGGAGAGGAGCCATGGTGGCCATAAAATTGGGCAGGACTAGAAAAAGATAGCAAGGCAGAGGCTGGGGATGTTTATGCTGCTTTAAATCCAGCAGAGCCCAGCTCTTACGCAGTATCGTGCAGCCATCAGCACTTAGTAAAGCTGCTTCTGGAGACAGGATTGCCTTTTCTAGGGATGAGTTCTGGGAACACGCAGGATTGGCTGCGGGTAACTGAGTTAGCCAGAGCTATCAAGTGATAACAATTGCTGTTGCTGTTGATTAAATGCTGATGAGTTAGCAAATTGGGATTTAAACCTGGACAAGAAATGCCTGGTTACTCTGCAGCTGGTAGTGGTTTTCTGGAACTAATCTTATCAATTATATATATTTTAAAGTGGTGATTCCTATTGCATTCAATGCTCAAGCAACTGGAGGCTTTTCTGCCTGCAGCCTGGCTGTGCCTGCCCGGGGCTGGTGTCCATGCACGAGGAGAGATCCTGGGACCTGCCCCTACAGCTCCATTTCGGTTCTGCTGCCTGTAGTCACCTCAAAAAGGGCAAATAAATTCCCCAGTTGTCAAAAGTTAGGGTGAACACAAAGTATTTAGGTTCACTGGCTTTGTTGTAGAAACCTGGTCCCGGGGCTGCTTCCCAGAGAAACCGGAGGGGAACAAGCAGGTAAAACAAACAGACCCCAAATCCCACCAAGCTTCCTATGCCAAATTAATCTCTGCCTTTCCCTCTAGGAATGGCTTTGTAATAAAAGCTGACACGCGCAGCTCCTGAATTTTCATTACCCAGCTCATTGACTTGGAGTTGCTGTCTTTCTTTTCATCCTTTACCCTTGTTTTTTTAAATCCTTTCCTCTTCTTTTCCTTTCCCCCCCGTGGCCCTCCCTGCTCTGCCGCAGCCGTCACGGCAGAGCGTGAACTGGGGACTCGTTTCCATCCCTAATTAAGAACTAATGGGAACGTTTCGGGATAGTGGGAGCCTGCTTATGCCTATATGCATGACCCGAGGGTGAAGCCCTCCGTAGACGCCTGCCCCGGCTCTGTGAAACCAGGCAAAGCTCTGCAGAATATTCCACATAGCCGTAAATGCTCTCATTATTTTTGTTAAATGTCCTGGTAATAAAGCTGGGAGGGGAAGGCACAATGGCAGAGTTTCATCGGGAGCCAAAGGGGGCTGGGGGAGCTCTTTCTCCCCCTCCGCTGCCCCTGAATTTAATTAAGCATAAAGCAGCTTTAGTGCTGGCTGGTGGTCGGGGGGAAGTGGCTTTCCCCGAGCACGGGTCTCTGCTCCTTTTATTTCAGCCGAGGATGGCAGAAATGACAATTTTGGGCATCCTCAAGCTGGCTGGTGGGTGTCTCACCCCCCACAGCTGGCAGAGAAAGGGGAGCTGGGCAGCCTCCCTAGGTTTGCGGGTTCCCGCACCCCCTCCATCGGGACAGAGGCACCTGCCGTGGCTCTTGTTTGCCAAGGGCGTGCAGCCCCTGCGTCTTCCCAGACAACCCAGCCGGGTGCTCTGGGATGTGCATCCCGCACCACTTCTCATCCCTACGCCCGCAGCCCGGGCAAGCGGCTTGGGAATCATGGGTCCTTCCCGAGTGGACGCTGCAGGACCACAGGGATCCGGGAGGGTTTTCCCACAGCGAGCACCCAGGGGCTCTGCACAACCAAAATATTCCGTGGAGTCACCTTCCTGGGTGCAGAAAGGGTCCCTGGTCTGTGGCGATGCTCCCTGCTGCATCCCTCCAGCTGTACCGTGATGCTCCGCATCCCCTTCCCCCTTCGCTTCTCACTCCTTTTCCTCTGTTCCCTACTAGGCTCAAGTGCCACAACAAATGCACCAAAGAGGCCCCTCCGTGTCACCTGCTGATCATCCACCGCGGAGGTAAGGGCCTTTCTTCCCCCTTCTGCCTCCGTGGATGTTGCCACCAGGTAAAACTTTCAAAAGCCCCCCGGGCGATTCGGGAGCCCGACCCTTGCTGGCGGCCGGCGGGACGGAGGCTCCCGAACCCCCTGGGCGCTCTGTGAAAATTTTACCCACCGTTTTTTCCGCTTGTAGGGAGACGAGCCGTTCGGGGCGAGGCAGATTTGCATTGCAAACCACTTCCACCCACCCTTCCCCTGCCTCCTTTTCTTTTCAGATTCCCCACCGCACGGGGTAAGTCCAACAGGTTTTAGCCTTTTGCTACCGTCGAGAGCTTAGGGCGGATGCGTGGGACCCGAAATCTCCCGCGGCGCTGTCGGTGCATGGGGGTCCCTGCAACGGGGACGTGGCCGTGCCCCTGCGGATGCTCATGGTGCTTTCGGAGCTGCCTTGTCCCACCCTCCTCTGGGAGAGCCTGTCCTAAAATCCACAGAGAAGGGAGAACTTTGCAGCAGGACGACGGGCGTCGCTTCCCACCTCTTTTCTTCCAGATTCTGGCCGAGTGCTCCCCGACGGCCAGAGGACTGCGACCGCCTTAGGGAAACGCTTCCAATTACCGTTGTCTTGAATTTTGAGCTCTTAAGGCCGTTATTGTCTATTAAATACCACGCTCCTCGGTTTTATTGGGGGAAATGCACTGCGCTGGTGGCACCTTGCGAGGCGAGCAGGGCTGCTGTGACGGGGCGGGGGGGGCAA